AAGAAATCAATTTGAAAATCTTTCACCTTAGTTTGAGACTGGATTCACACGAGTGTTCCTCCAATTCACTCAAACCAAGGCTCTGATACCAACTTATAACACCCATAAAATTTCAATAAAACTTAAACTTTTTGAAAACAACCCTTTCTCAAAAAAGTGCTTACAAAACCATTGTGCCCAAAACATTATTCAAAATCAAAGTCACTTACAACATAGTTTTGAAAACACTTTCATTATCAGAGTTTCCTAGAAATCATAAGCCCAAAACACGAGGATATGTATAGTCACGCCTTCACCTTTCCACGATCCACTGAAGTACATGAAACCATAAATCAAAATTGTAAGAACAAAACTTAGTGAGTTTCCCCAAAGTACCAACACCCAAATAGATAACATATACAAATAACAACATATGATGGGTCCAATCAACCATTGGGTTGGAATACCCCAGGCTCTCAACCATCGGGTTTGAATGCTAACATACTATGGGTCCAGTCAACTATCGGGTTGAAATACCCTAAGCCCTCAACTATCGGGTTGGAATGCCAACATACTATGGGTCCAATCATCCTCGGGATGGAATACCCTCGGGCCCGTTCAACCATTAGGTTGGAATGCCAACATACTATGGGTTCAGTCATCCTCGGGATGGAATACCCTCGGGCTCGTTCAACCATCGGGTTGGAATGCCTTGGCCTGTTGGCTTACGCACAAAGCAGTGAAGCCTCAGCCGCCGACCAAACACGTACACATATAACAGATAATCATATGACAGTCTATAGCCAGCCAGACAGATCTACAGATCACTAAGCATAACAACATCTTATCTTCCAGGATACCGATCTAACAGATCATAACAACATAGCAACATCCTATCTACCAAGATACTGACAGCATAGCAACATCCTATCTACCAGGATACTGATCTAGCAAATCATAACAATACATTAGCATGCATAACAAAATATCAATCCAATGGGCCAGCATTGGTGCCTTCGACCCTCAAATACAGTTAGGAAAACTCACCTCACAAGCAACACTGACTGATAAAATCCAACTCTCAAATCTCAACTCCTGAATCAAATGCTAACAACCACCATGTGACCATTTCCATCAAAACTTTGAAATACCCAAAATACCCTCAAAAGTCAAACTTGTTCAACCATGGTCAAAGTCAACAGTCAAGGTCAACAACCCATGTTGACCCAACTCATCGAGTGTACTTATCAACTCGTCGAGTTCCTTTAGCATTCAAAAAGTCGGGAAAACCCGCAGCCAACTCGTCGAGTTATCAAGACAACTTGTCGAGTTCCTACAATATCCAGAAAAGCAAGAAAACCTGTTCCAACTCGTTGAGTTGCCAAAACAACTCGTCGAGTGTTCCCAGCTTAATTCATTCAGTCCTTTTTCATCCCTTCTAACACTCAAGAATGTAGATCTGGAACCCAAGAGCTAAAAAAACCATGTAAAGTTGCTAACTTTACGTCCATACATAACACCAAGAGGCTAAAACACTCAAGAAGGCTTATTAAGGGAATTAGAACATGAAGGGAGCCTAGATCTAGATAAAGCTTGAAACTTTAAGTCCAAGAAGGCCACAAAACGTCCAGATCTAAAGTTATAACTTCATGAGATGCTCAAACCAAGAATAAACCCAAAAATGAGCCAAGAATGACAATAAACTTCCAAGGAAGAGATTTAAGCAAAAGGTGAGAAAGTTTTCTACTTTTTACCTCAAAAGAGTAGCTAAACTCAAAAAGATTATGGATCTAAAGCTTCCCTCTTCAATCTATGCATCATCCACTTCGTGCTTCGTTAAGAGAACACCAAGGAAACACTCTTTAAGCTCACACACACTCAAAAATGGAAGACAAAAACATGAGGCTAGGGTTTCTGGATAGAGGAAGCGATTAGGGAGGCCATCAATGGGGCTTAAGGCCTTTAAATATGGTGCAACACCTTAAAAATTGGGGTTTTCATAGTCAGCCACCAACTCGTCGAGTTTTCCTCTCCAACTCACCGAGTTGGTCCAAAAAGATCTGCGGCCCAAAACTTTCAACACATCGAGTTGAGGCCATCAACTCGACGAGTTCCAAGGAAGATTTGCCTTTTTCATAAAACTTCTCATGCCTAGGAATCGGGATGTTACAATTTGATTGGGGCATAGATAATCCCAAACTATGGATTGTATGTTGGTCCATGGTATCTTTTGTCAATACATAGTCTGGATCTTGAAGAGGTTCTTCAGGAGAGTTGCTTGTGGGTGTGGATTTTGTTGAAAAAGTGACTACCAAGAAGGTCTTCAAGATTTATTATTGTAAAATCTTGTTCGGTAATAGTGTATTATTTCTTGTCACTTCTCTCCACATTGAAGGTAAAAAAACCCTTTGGTTTTGAAGAATCATTTTAATAACCTTAACTTACACATGGTTCATTTTTTAATGACCAAAAATTTTCAATTGGTTGAGCATGAGTCTTGTAAAATAATTCAATACTCTGACGCTCTGATGACACTTGATTTTCAATTCGGGGTGAGCATTTGGACCTTGACCTCGACCTGGACCTAATAAGCCTCAATATGGACCTGGTAAGCCTCAATAGGTTCGGTCCAAGGTCCACCAATTTTTGCAAAAAAGGTTCGGTCTAAATGATCACTTTTACATACAAGAACTGGGGACTGGACCTAGACCTAGACCTATGGACCTGATAAGGTTCAATAGGTCCAATCCAAGGTCTAACAGTTTCTGTAAAATTGGTCCGGTCCAAGAGCTGGTTCATTCTGGTCCGATCCAAATGCTCACCCCTATCTACAATAGTATGTTGTAGATTCAATTATGGAAAGACCACACATAATCATGCATTTGGAGATAGTGGTAGATTCGGTTAAAGATCTTTAGATTACAAGAGCGAAAAGGTTTTTTCTTAGCACAAAGTCTTCTTTAGATAATTTCCAACTTCCTATAATTTCCTAGTATTAACATTCCAAGGGATTAATGCCTTAGATTGTTTAGCACTTGCTTCAACAAGTTTTTCTTCTATGATATTTTTCAAGTCACTTTATGTATTAACCTTGCATCTAGAGCATCTTTCTCTTTTTGCATCTCTTTAGCCACATGTTCGTCCTCGGGAAATAGGAAGGACTTCATATGAGTTACATATTTCGATTGTTCATTCTCCCAATTCATAATGTTTTTTCCTTTGTCTTTGATTGGAGCTCCTGGAATAGTAGGAGTCTTTGAATCTAGCATTGTCATTGGAGTAACACGATCATCAGCAGTTTCACATTTGGTTGTAATCGCTTCCATATGTTGAATGGTAAGATACTCTTGGGGTTCCACCTCAATAATATCCTCCATATTTTCAACCTTCAGAAAATGAAAAGGGGAAGGAAACATAATAGTCTTTAATAGGATGAACATCCATAATTAGTAGGAACTTCAAAATATGAAGATTGACTTGGTTTTTTGTTTCTTAAGAGCGTGAGGAGGTTTATCATTATTTTTAAAAGACTCTTCAATATCTAAAGTCTAGTTAAACCCTATTTTATTTGAAGGTCAATTCCTCTTGCACAAACCCCATAGTTGAGGTTTTAACCTCTTTTTTTCCTCGGGTAATTTGAACACCCAAAGAAAGCTTTGAGTTGTTGATTTTTTTAATGTTATGTGATTAAAAAATTCTTACCTAATGCACTATCTAATAACTTATATGAAATGCTTGAAGTGCATGGAATATAAATTCAATGAAAAGACTCAATTCAGATAAAATAACAATCAACAAATAAGACCTATTTGGTCATACACATAAATACCACATAGGTAAAAGCAGTGAGAAGACTCACGTCGCAGATAGTAGCTAAAATACGACAACTCTCACACATAGAGTAGACGGGAGTAGCGAGACACCTAATAACAGTAAAGTCAAACCCTATCAGCTTACACCCTTAAAACCCTAGTTTGACCTAAAAGTCAACCATGGTCAAAAGTCAACCCTGTTCAACTCCAGCCTACGGTCACGTCGTGACTGGCAAAAGATAAAATAGTCGAGACTAGATAATCTCATGATGTGACACGTCGTGAGAACTGCTCTGAACAGTTTTGAGCGTTTAGCTCTTAATCCCTTAAGCTATTCTTTGAGACTTTCCAGAGGGTCTTCCCCAACCCTAAGGACTATAAAAACCGTGGCTTTTCAGTCATGCATTTCCAATGCATGACTTGGACACTAGCTAAGTCATTAAGAAGGAAAATGGGATCAAGACTCATGCTTGGAGTCTAAACCAACACCAAACCTCAAATTTGAAGTATATTTTAGAGAAAATGACTCAATGATCCATAAAGTTGCTAACTTTATGGATCTCATGCATGCTATCCCACCCAATCAAGAAAAGAAAGACATAAATCTAAGATCTAGCACGTGTAATAGATAAAGGAAATAGCTTTAGGAATTACAAAGGTCCAAAAGCATTGAAGAAAGAAGAGGTAGAAGCTTGATGGCCAAAAGGATGCACTCAAGGAGTCTTATTCTCCTTCAAAGAGCCAAAAACCACCCAAAGAGCTCTTAAGATTAACAATGGAGGTTCGCCTGCAGTGACTCCAGGGCATGAAGCAAAGCTTTATGTTTGCAGCGGGGGATTAGTCGGTGCGTGAAAGCTGGCCCGGAAACCCTCGTTAGGGAAGTTCCCTTTCCAAAAAAAAGATTAACAATGGAGGCTAAGAACGTTTTGGGCAGGCAAGAGGTAATGAAGGTTGAGGGTGTGCAAACCTTAGCCTCCCACTTCTCTTAAATATGGAGCAAAAGACAGGATTAGGGTTTTACCTAAACTCACGTCATGAGACTCTAACCCTCATGTCATGAGCCTTAAAATGGCCACGTATCTCAGACTGAAGTCATGTCGTGAGACCCTAATTCTCACGTTGTGACCTTCAAATTTTGGGTTTTTCATTCTTATTTAGCTCAAAACATTTTAAAGATCGGGTACCTTCATTAGATGTTACATAACATGACTTATACTTCCAATTATGATCCCAAACCTCGAAAAGGATATGGATTACATTGATACATATGAGATGTTGATTGTGTTGAAGAACATGTTGGTGAATTGTTTCACTAATTATATTTAAGTGTAATGGATTGACTTATTGACCAAAATCAATCTTGATGAATATTAAACAAGTAATGAAGTGATACGAACCCATCTCATACTAGGCTCGCATCATGCCATAAGCCCAAGTGCAGAACTCACTACTAAAAGCTAGCTTGAAAGAGGATGGAACACTTAGTCTTATAAGCCACCAATCAAACTTCATTTGGCCGATGTGGGATCGTAACAATACCCCACGCTTTGAAGAGCGAACGTCCTCGTTGGTCACGATTGGCACCCCTTTTTCGGTTCAAGCCACCACTTAGAGTCATTATTGGTCACGGTTGGCACCTCTCTTTTCAGGTCCAAGCCACCACTCCGTATGCCACCACTCCAAGTGTTGGCACCTCGAAAGATGGGATGGCTCTGATAACAATTAACCCGACCCATCCATTTTGCCTTCTATGATATAACATTTTAATCAACAATGTAACACATAAACATTGGATACTTTTGCAAAATTCTTGCCAAGTAAAGTTAGCAAAATACAAAATATATGCATAAAATTTGTTAGATACATGAAATCTATGATTTTTGTGTATTTCTTGTGTCCCCTGTATGCTCTTCTCCATTTACACCCTTGTGAACTCTCAACTTCCACCTTTTTGCTGATAGCCTTGGCCTCAACTATGCCAAAAAAAAAAAGGTAAAATAAGAATTTCATACGTTTGTAGAGGGCATTTACGTCTTTTGCATAGACGACAGAACAAGAGTGGAGATGCATGTCAAAGTCAAAGTCAAAGTCAAACACAGGACAACTTGTTAATGCTTAAAGCATACCATCTCTATATACTTCAACTGTTTTAGAACTTGATCCGTACTAAGCTCCTGAAAAAGCATAAAAAAGACTATTTTACCCTTTTAATAGAAAAAAAAAAGTCCTAACTGAATATATGATTGTGAATGAATATATATACTTGAGGAACAGCACAATCAGCATGGATTGGGTCCCACAACACAGAACTGAAACACTCCCAATTATCCCTTTGAACTTCAAAAAGAGGAGCCCTGTAACATTTCATACAAAAAGAAATGGACCCAATAAGTATTTTTACCAAAATACCCTTCTTGAACACATACACCTTGCTTTAGCAATACCTTCTCCATTTTCCACAAACAATTCCATTTTCATGATCAACAATTTCTCTACATTGAACCCAATTTCCAATACAGCTGAGTCTAGAAAGCTTGCTGGAATCCCAATCCTACAATCATTATTATTATTATATTATTATATTATTATATTATATTATTATTATTTTTATCTCAGAAAAAGAAAAGAATCAGAAAATATTACTTGATAAGTAGCAGAATCTGAAGGGTTTATTTCTGAAGACAAGTTGTGGTAATCATTAAGTTGGCTGCATGAGTCATTTGCTAAAATCTTCCATTATACTGATACTAGTTGAAACAAAGAACAAGGGTAAAATCGTAAATGTGTAAAATAAATAAAAGTTCATAGAAACACATACTGGATAAGTGGGCCAGACCAATCAGGAACCTCTGCTTGAAAATCTTTACCAATACGAACATCCGACTTATAACAATCAACATCTCTCAACATATCCACAATTGGACCAAAATACCCTTTTGGCGAATTTCCCTCCATTTTCTTGAGTTTTTTTCGTAAACAAGAATGACAAAACCAATCACCAACAGGAACCTTCTTTAGATTACAACAAGACATATGAAAAGACTCTTCACAAAGATCACAAATCAGCATCTTCACAGTCAATGTTGACTTTTCACAAACCTTACATACCCTCAAACCACAAATACCCTTTTCAATTTCAACATCTTTTACTTTATTAAAACAGCTTCCTTTCAATCCATTCAATCTTTGAAGCACTAAATGGTGTTCAAGAAACTCGAAGCATGAATTTGTTTCTGATGTATCTTTCATTACAACTGAAGATGAACACTCACCAATATCATCTGTTTGTTGTTGTTTTAAAGAAACAGATCCAATTTCCATGTTAGATTTTGATGATGAGCAACAAATGGTTTGAATCTTTTTTCGTTTGTAAACAAGGGTAGGCGTAGGGGAAGGAGTAGGGGTAGAAGTGGAATTTTTGTGAATGATTCGGCGTTTGTAAACAAGATTAGGTTTAGGTTTAGAAGTTTCTGACATGTTAATTTCGGTTGATATTTGGGAAGAACTTAAACTATCATTCTTGTTTTTATGATCATTATCTTGGATCCATACACATAGGATTTCTTGTTTTCCATTGTTATGAAGAGAAGAGAGATGAGCATCAATGGAGTTTTGTATTAACATCATTAGAGAAATGATGAAGATTTGATTGATTTATTCCATTTGAGACTTTGAGTATGTCTTTTGGGAATTAGCAGCTTTTTGAATTTTGTGTCCAATTGTATCCAGATGTGACCTAATCATAAAGAAAAACAAATATCTTACTGATAAAGAGATTTTAAAGTTTATCAAGATCTACAAAAGATTCAATTTGAAATACATGTTTAATCAGATTTAAGAACAGGGAATCTGTTCAATCGAATCAACAAGTTCTCTATCTTGATTCTTGCCCTTTGTGTGAGTTTCTCTTTCCTAAGTACTTTTTTTTCCTCTTCTTCTAACACAGATGTATGCGAATCCTACACAAAACCTAATACATTCAAAACAATTATCCTCGAAATCGATGATTAGGGATTTTCAATATATAGATATCGACACTACCATGGATTCAGTTTCATCAAAAACACAATCGAAATCATATCAGTTGAATCATATAATGAAGTCAAGAAACTACACGACTCTATACCCTTTTCAAACACAAATTCGGAGTACATAAATCTTAAGATAAAACCTAATACATGCTGTAATAATCCAATAAAACAGTTTTAGCCTTTAGGAAACTAATAGCATGTAATCTTCGAATAAAACCCAGATATTAGAACTAAATACAAGTCCTTGAAGCGATGTAATTGAAGAACTTTACCTAGAAAGAGATGGAAGGCGAGATTGATTTAAACTGGAATCAAAACTTAAACCCAGAACCTTTTGTTAGTTCTTCTTCTTCTTCTTAGACTTTGAAATTTTGTACTTTTCTGTTCCCCCTCCTTCTCCTTACTTTCCTATTCCCATGATACCTCTCAGATGTTCTCTATTTATGTTTCCCCTTTCCTGGTGCTTTCTTTTTGTTCAAAAGTTTCCACATCAACATTAGTAGATTTAATTTCAAAATTACAAACTACAATGTTATAAAAATAAAAATAAAAAAAAATTTCCACATCAATATTTGTAGATTTAATTTCAAAATTACAAACTATAATGTTATAAAAGTAAAATTTTAAAAAAATTACACATCAACATTTGTAGATTTAATTTCAAAATTACAAACTACAATGATATAAAACTAAAAAAAAAATGTGAATAGATGAACTATTTACTGCTTTTAATCAAATGTATCCTATGGCTATGATTTTTATGGTCTTAACCATTTTGTAATCTTGGCCATTGGTTTTCATTTATCTAATCCGAGTTATTGGTTTTCAATGTTATGAGATTATCCAAATCGAAATTTAATTTCAATTTCAATCAAACTAAACAAAATACAATTTTAAATTTTAAATTTTAATTTGGGTTTTTGGTAGTTTCAACTTTCAACCGGATCTTAGATACAAAGTATAATTATATAATTTCTTTTATATTTGATTAGAATTGAGTTCTTGGATTCGTGTTACAAAAGAGTAGATATCAAATCAGTTAGAATTAAATTTGTTGGTTATAAGTTCAATTATAAAAGTTTCCTACTCTAATTGTAATGGTTATGAACTCACGAGCTTTCCTTTAACGCTTAAATGGAAGTTTTAATTTGTGATTTGAATTGGATTGGTTTCTAATTCATTAGACATAATGAATAGAGTTTAAATCGTCAATCATAAATGAGTTTGGTGAAATTAATGCATCAATTGATGTCTAGATCGTGATCTTGATATAAAGCTAATGTGATTCCTAGTGGAAGTTAAAATAAAGATTTAAAACTATAAAACAAGAGATATTCAAATTAGGATTGTATATCATTGTGATAATAATGATATTGTTGGGGAATTGATGTAGAAATACATACATAAAAATACAAACAATATAAACATTAACATATTAAAAATTTTCTATCAATCTGAAAGGCATGGATTTATTCATAACAATATAAACCAACAACTAATCAACCCGGGATGTGCTTAGAATTGTATCTTATATGATAGACATAATATCAATATAGATAAGCCCTTATGGTTGATTGACACAGCAAAGGCAAGAACAATATTCACTAGACTACCAACTAAACAACACATTTTTCTCTGTAATCATGGAGAGAGAGAGAGAGGTTTATTTATGATGGTTATGGTTTTTTTTCTCAAACATCGTTCTTGTCTAATAAATAAAGTCCAAAGCTCTTATGATTAACTCTTAATAATTTAATCATAACTAGTTAATAAAAACCTTTTATTAGTTAAATAAATAAATAAATGTTTAATTATTTTGTCTCTTAATAAATAACAAACTAACTCTTAATTCTTATTTATTATTAGTTGGTAAATAATAAATAATAATACACTATACATATTATTATTTTTATGTTTCCTTTATTCCCTTAAATATTGGACACATGTCACATATAAACCGAAACAAAATTTTATTATTTTATTTTTATGAACATTAAAGCTAACATATTCCCGTATATCCAGAAGAACAATAGAAACCAAAACGTATACCGACAATAATAAATGTCTGAAAATAGATCATTGTCTCTAAATATATGTGAAGACATTATCATCCATAAAACATCCACTAACATTTAGTGTTCGACTATTCACCTAGTCTAGATATCCTTTCATTCTTATATATAGAGAGCTCTAGTTCATAGATTGAAAAGTAACATGCTCGTGTTTTCTTATTTTTGCGAGTGCATTAAGTTGAATCTGGGCATGGTCGCACATTTCAATTTATTTACTCATCAAACAACCTAAATGACATCAAACTCTAAATAATTGGAGGAACAAATCCTATGGATGTAAACCTCATAATCATCTGTCTAGATTAACTTAATAAAAATATTCACGAAGTGCAATTTTAGAGTGGGTCAATTCCAATATTCATCAATAATGAATATGCATGGTTTTGGTTCTTCAGCTAAGATAAATTCAATCTAATCAATGTCACAAAAACAACATATTAGTTGAACATCATGACTGCATTAATGACCATGACCAACTACGGATTTTAAAAAGAAAAACAAGTTACTTTTAATGCGTAAACATGCTAACATTGAGCGTACTCATGGATGTCCAAAACAATGTATCATACATCAATTCACCATAGTTAAGTCTATCCGCATGTCCAAAACAATAAATCATACATTAATTCACCATAATTATGCCCAAAACAATAAATCATACATTAATTCACCATAATTATGCCTATCTGCTTAATGCCCCAATATCCAAATACCAAATCCTTGATCCAATGATTTCATTGAATCATCATAAAAGTTTTAAACCTTATGGGTAATGATATCACTCAAGTGAACCTTACACGAACCACTACATTTTTTCTGTTCCCATTTCCAAAAAAATGATATCGATAGAAGGTAGTGTTAGTTTTTGGAAACATGTTCATTTGCATGTTGGTACAAGTATATAGACACACTTCTATTGTTCATGCATCTCATGCCTACCATAGGACTATTGAGATCTAAATTTTCATGTACTTGCGAAGGTGTGAAAACCTCATGTATGTATAGACATCTAATATGTGATAACCATAATGTTCTTACTAAATAGTGATTTATTCTGCCTGATTTTTGTGAACATCAAACACTAACTTTTAGTTATGAACTTCGTGATAAAAGACACAAAGTTACATTTATTGATGTGTTGTTCTAACATTTTTTGACTTCTTCAAGATTTTATTAAGAGTAGTTTCCTTTTCAAATATGATAAATTGAAATTTTGATGGGAAGTGGTAAGATTGTGGGGATGATTTAGATAGGTCTTAGGAAAAAAATAAGATAAGTTGTGGATATTAAGTTAGAAACCATGACATCATACATGATTGGTATGATGTCAAGGCAATATTAGCCACCTCCCATATTTTATGGTATGTTTATGTTGGATTCTTTATAAAGTCATACCATGGTGTAGCATAATATGGAAATTCAGTGTGTTTATACAATAATATAATATGTAATTTTGTATAGTTGGAATGGAACAAAATGATGTCTCATTGTGAGATGACTATACAATGAAATATGGCAAGTCAAATGGTAGGGTGGTATGGCCTTACTAGTTATAATAATGTGAATATTGTTTTATAGCTCCTAATAGGATGAGAATATAAGTCTAATGGTGTTGACTTATAGATAGCACTTATTGTGTTTTGATTTTGTATAAGTTAATTAAATCATTTTTTAAAAATTGTGTTATGGTACCACATAAGCCAATAAACTATTTATAGCAAAACATAAGTTGTTTTAAATAGAAAAAAAATCCAAACACCCCTTAAGTCAAAATCCAAACAACTTATTCACAATGTTTATGAGTTATATCAAACCATAACATAATAGATATAAAGTTAATTTAATATAAACATAAACTTATTAAAGATATAAAATTACAATAAGCTAAACAATATGGACACCCACTAAATATTTTTTGCACTTCATTGGGAAATAAGGTAAATAATTTTTTATTAATAGCTTTTGGTTTCCATTAATTATAATATTCTCAAGTTAATTGCAAAAGTATTTACAAAACATTTTTATTATTGATATACATAATATATTTTTGAGAAAATGACAAAATAGCCAATTATACTAATTACATTACAAAAATAGCCAAAAAAAATCGAAATTGCAAAAATAGCCCTTAATTTCGCAGATGTAATTGCCCCATCTGCGAAATGACCATTCCATCTGCGAATGTACAAGCTGCTAAAGCACAACTATGCTTTAGCAGCTTGTACATTCGCAGGTGGTTTTTTTTTTTCTGTATATATATTGAAAATGTAGGGTAAAATCGCAGATGGAATAGCCCCATCTGCGATTTACTCTCATTCTATCTGCGAAATTGTGAATTTTTTTTTTTTTTTTTTTTAAGTTTGACTATGAAATTAATACCTGCAAAGTTACGTCTTTGAAACCACCATTGTTGCATTGTAGCACGAAAAAAATCGATCAACATAAGTATTGACATCTTACGTACGTGTCTACAAAACTTTTTATATAGCAACATGATTTCGTAGTCAAACCAATTGATTTCATAGTCAAATTAAAAAAAAAAATCACAATTTCGCAGATGGAATGAGAGTAAATCGCAGATGGAACAACTGTGCTTTAGCAGTTTGTACATTCGTAGATGAAATTATCATTTCGCAGATGGGGCAATTCCATCTGCGAAATTAAGGACTAATTTTTGCAATTTCGATTTTTTTGACTATTTTTGTAATGCAATTATTATAATTGGTTATTTTTGTCATTTTCTTTATATTTTTTCTAATTGTTTAATCAAATTTACTCCATTTTGATTATTTTATATACCAGACTTTTTACCTATTTTCATATCTTAAGTCACATATATATAAAACGATACAAATCTAAAATGTAGTTGTTCAAAAAAAAAAAATATAAAGTGTAGTATTTTAAAAGAATATTTTCTTATATAAATTGATAAAATCGTGAAAAATATCTTGCGATTTTCGATCTTTTTACTACTTTGCGCCGGTGACTGTGATCAGACGCCAACGGATTTCGCTTTTGAGGTTTTTGCTGTGTGTGTGTTTGCGGAAGACGATCGGAAATGGTGGCGATTGAGCCTTTGCCTTCCACCGATATCGAATCAAAACCCTCAAATTCAACCACCACTGGAGTAGATTCGAACAGTAGCAACAGATTAAATGCTGATGGAGTAGTTTCGAGCAGTGGAGATAAAGCAACAGCCGCCGGATACGCATCCGACGGGTACGAAACGGCAAGCGAGACTGAAGTTGGCGATGATGATACGGTTTCTGACAATTCTGATAAATCGTACGCCGTTGAACATGAACATCAACAACATAAATCGGAAGAAATGTCTACGGTGTCGAAGGATCCGACCTATGAAGATGCACTCAATGATGACGAATTCAAGCAGGTTAGTTGTTTCTCTCTTTTGGAGCC